CCCCAAAACCCCAAAACCCCAAAACCCCAAAACCCCTTAATTAAAACAAATTATTGTATAATTCTTATAATAATGGATAGCTTTCGTTCATATCATTCAGAGTCAGAAGAATCCTGAAACAATAAACTTAACAGATCTTTTGAAGAGACTAAACAGTACCCAGATCTTGAGGACATTCCAGATATTAGGGTAGAAAAAGACTGCGTTGAAGAGACTAAATCTATAGAGCCTGAAGATTCTAATCTTCAACCCGAAAAATCAAGAGTTGTACTAGAAGCCAAGACTTGGATCAATGGAACACATGGTCTGTTTAGTTATGACACCAAAGAAATTAAATAATAAAACTTACCGTATTTATTCTCCTGGCAAACTAATCAGAAATGGGCTTAAAATTAATTATAAAGAAACAACTCAAGAGTATGTTGCAAGTGCAGATGAAACAGTTTTACTAAATTTGGAGAATCCATCTGAAAATACCTACACTATCAAGCCGGTTAATACTAATAAGCAGAATGATCGCATCTGGACCGTGATCAAAGAACTTGGCTCTCATGAATATAAGATAGAAGGTCATGATATCTTTAAGCTTGGCAAGATGAAGTTTAGAGTCAAGGAGTTTAGAACACCCGATTGTTATTTTACCGAAACAGATTCGCCTTCCCCTCACGAAGGGTTTGATAAAGATGATGATGTTGAAGATCCAGATCAACTTTCTGATGAAGAATTAAAAATTGGCAAGGATAATTGTATATTTTGAAGAAAGACTAATGACTTTGTATCAAATCTCGTTTTGGTATCATGAAGTTGAGGTGTAAGTATCAAAGATCATCATTTATGAATGTATTATTTAGTAAATATATCTAAACATATAGTTTATGTATTTTAAGGCTTAAGTATGCTCTCTCGTCATGAGAAAAGTATAGATTTAAGCTATTAAATGGATTTGATGATTAAGAAATAATTTTTGTGCGAAGTATTAAAGAATATTTTCTTTGTTCTAGTGAATATTATACCCAAAAAGAGTTAATCTGATTATTATATTCTAGCACAGATGCAAAATATTGAATTTCTTGCCTAAAATCTTGAATTAAATAACTAAATTTGGACATATCAGCCTGAATTCTTTTATCTTAAATTTCTTGACCAATATTTTCAGGAACCAAGTGAAGAAATTGAAATAAAAAGACCAGATGATCCTGAAGTGCCATACATAATTATCGAATGGTTGAATCCAACTAGCTCTCTAAGAACAGTCCACACAATTGTGTTCGAGGATGCAGAAGAGCCCTTCTGCTTAGGAAGAGGACATGAAGCTGACCTTAGAATTAACTGTATTTCTGTATCAAGAAAACACGCAGCCTTTAAATTCCGGGAAGATGGGTTCTACATGGTCGATCTTAAAAACAAGTACGGTACACTTGTACTAGAGAGAGGAGCACTGGAGATATGCGAGGGTGTACAAAGGACCATACAGATAGGCCATACTGTTATTGATGTGAAGTTTGAGGTCCTACAGCAGGGACATTCATTTAAACCTCCAATTGAGGAGGGGAATTTAGGTGCAAATGGTAAGTATTAAAAAAAATCTATTTCTCTTTCATTCTTAGTGGTCATCTAATTTTTATTCTATAGTGGCAAATGCAAACGAAGGCCATTTTTACGAAGATATGAGCAATAGCCTTGGCTCCATTGGTACTGACAGCGAGAATCATCAGAGAAATTCTGATAGCCATTGGATAGATGCTAATTTAATTAGTACTTCAGACAGTAATAATTTTTAATCCAGCTCCAAAAAAGGGGTTTTGGGGTTTTGGGGTTTTGGGGTTTTGGGGTTTTGGGG